TGGAAATTGTTAATATTTTATGTCAGCTTGCACCCAGAGTTTTGATCAGACATTCTGCATGTGTCCTGAGATGAATATTCAAATTGATGTGCTGTGAGTAAAGCAGCTAATCCTCCATATTAGAGGTGGACTTCAATCAGTGGGTTGACTGCTGTGATAAACAAATACCAGCTTGCTCATCTCCTCAGTAAAATTTCTGCCGCCATACTGCCTTAGGACTTGAGGTACAGATTTTTCTGGTTGCTGACTTAAACCATCTGATCTGAGGGCTGAGACACTCAATTCTTTAAAGTTAATTAACCCCCATCCCCAATGCGCGCACGCACGCGCATGCACTCGCGAGCACACACACACACACACACACACACACACACACACACACACACACACACGATAAATCTCCATTTCCCTGGTGACAAATCCACTCACATATATAAACAATGCTAGGAGAAGATTTATCTTTTCACTGGTTTGTTCTCAGGCATCGACTAGACAATGCATGACACAAAGTAGGTACTCAACAGTGCATTTGCTTACTTATACTTTCTTCTGTAGAATGTAATGTCAAGGTTTCTCTTGCTTTAAAATGTCTTACTTAGGAAAGTGGGTATTTAAATAACTTGTATTTCCCTCTTTCCCCTCCTGTCATTTGCCATAGTTTACCAACTTTAACTATGCTTAATTCTTTTGCTTTTTTTTCTGCTTCTCAAAACCAAAAAACCACTCAGAACATTTATGTTTGTGTGGGTTTCCTACCCTACCATAACTGAAATGCCCCAGTCTCTGCCTAAACAGTTTCAGTTAGACCACTGCATTCTGCAAAGATGAGTAAATGCAAACATTTAAAATGCAAACTGGGTGGAGTGTGCCTCCACCCAGTGTGCCTTACCTCTGGAAACAGTCAGGATAGGTACTTCAGATCGTCTTTCTTCTTGGTACCTGACAGAAGTCGCTGATATTGTAGTAAGGAAGGAACATTTCCTGAAGAAATCAACTCTGTGAAGTGTGTGAACACATCTGAAGGGAGGCTGCTGCCGGGATAGCGGGATATCTCTAGAGACTTGTAACTCTTGACTCATCTTGATTACAGATTGCTCGTTTCTCAGATTCGGAATGTATTTTGGATAATGATTCCCTGCCCTCGGTACTCAGAAAGCACTCAGGCATGCTCGGCAAGTTTGCTACCTTTGGGCTGCATCTCCAGGCCTCCTTCATAAACAGCAACAAACAATCTTTTTATTTTGAGATGGTTTCATTAGGTTGCCAAGCTGGCATTGAATTCACTTAGTAGTCCAGTAGACCTTGAACTTGAGGCCTTAGACTCCAAAGTAACTAGGGTGAAGTAGGGAAGAGTGGTACATTTCTTTTAGAAAGCCCCAAACTGCGTAGTATTTGTATCCTTTTCTGGGAACAGTACTAGTGGAAGCAATCCATAAATGTATGTCCGTCTGTCCTTCTCCTCTGGTTACTTAACTATTTACACTAGGAATCAAGGACCTGCACATATAGTTTCTCTCAGACGTTGGTTAAAATTTTCATTCCAAGGACAGGATGTATATCCACAGGGCACATACACATATGTACAATTGGGCATGAAACTTGAGTGCTTTAGATTTGTCAGTTTGGGCTAGCCTCAACCTATAAATGCCCTCTCTTTGAGTTTCAATCTGCATCATTTTCTTGTTTTTACTGAAAAGTCATAAATGACAGGAAAGAAAAGCAAGTTTGACTCGACACTAACATTACTCTTTACAGTAACCAGCATGGCTGATTATAGAAAGGAGTTGCCCCTCCTCCGGGTGGTTGTTCAGACTCAGTCTTTGTTATTATTGCCTGTAGGATTTAGTGATACCTTCTAGCTCCTGAGATATTTTCCAGATTAGAGAACACACACACTTCCCCCCTCTCTCAAGTCTCCCCCCTCCTCCCCATATGTGTATTTAATGAGTGTATGTGGAGGTTGAAGGTCAACATTTAGTATAAGTCCTTACCTTATTTTCCTGAGAGAAGCTTTTTTTTTTTTCACTGAATCTGGAGCTTGTTGATTCACTTAGGTTGGCTGGAAGGCACACCCCAGGAATTACCAACGCTGGCACATGGCTTTTTTTTTTTTATGTGGGTTCTGGAGGATCCAACTCAGGGCTTCATGCTTGCATCACATCTGAACCATCATCTCCCAGTCCTAGTTTGGGAATTGTCATGTGTTGATAATTCCTGAAATGTCCAACTGGACAAATCATCCCTCATTGATCAGTATGAGTTTGACCCCGCCAGAGAGTAAGAAGCCATAAGAATTGGAAAGACTTTTGTGCTAAACCTCTTTGATTCGAACAATGAATCCTTTGGTGTATTTCCAGATAAGTTGCTACTCCCTAATGTCACCACAGCTGATGGCTATCCACTCTGAAAGAGAGCCTGCCATTAACTAGACTAGCACACAACCTTCAGCTGAGAAAGCAAGAGACAGATATTGTCATTCTGAAAAGAAAACTTGATGCCAATAAATATAATTTATGTAAGCCTCATGTTAGAGATGTCTTAGAGAAAAGAACCCAGATTCGAGCATGTTTTAAAAGCAACAGATTGTGAGTGAAGCTTGGTGGTCTATAACTTGCTTGATATCCATGAGGTCCTGGGTTCAATTCCCAGCACTGCAAAGGAATAAAACAAGACCATGCAAATATAAACTGGGAAACATCCCCACATATTATTTTGTAATAAGCACAAATTCATATGCAAATCTGCCTTTGGGAACTTACCTATTTTCCATTAGTAATCGATTGTATTTATATTTATATTATCAGAACTTAGCTTAACAAATGTCTCTTGGGTTAAATTATCAATACTTTGGGGATGATGCCAGCCTATTTAGGCTCTATTCTTCTCATCTTTGTGGTATCTGTCACTGCCCTTTACCTACAACTGCTCAAGCATGGGAAGTCAGTCGTCGTCGTCTATGTTAAGTTCTTTCACCTCTGAGTACAAGGGAGAGAACACTACTACGAGGAAAAATTTAAGACACATCCTAGCTGTACCTTTCACTGGCGAGAAACTCCAGACAAGTCGAATGTTTTCTGAGATTTTGATGTCACTTTTCCCTATTAAAAGTGTGGCTGTCACAGATGCATCTTTTCAAGACAGGGTTTCTCTGTGTAGTTTTGGTGCTTGTCCTGGATCTTGCTCTATAGACCAGGCTGGCCTCGAACTCACAGAAATCCACCTGGCTCTGCCTCCCAAGTGCTGGGATTAAAGGTGTGTGCCACCACCGCCCGGCTCACAGATGCATCTTGAGACACATCTATCTCAGGAGAAAACGTAGGCCACTCCATCACTTCCTTTTTCCTCAGTCAGAGGTCCTAAGGTACCCTGTGACCTGAAGGGGTCATAGACTTTACTGATGAAGGAGAACAGGTTGAGAAGGTCTTGGAGGCCTCTGCGGCAGTGACTGCAGATCATTAACTTCTCTTGGCTCAGAATACCAAAACAATCAACGACATAAACAGCTCCCACCCTATCATGTACCAGGATACCCTAGAAAATGATCTCGAGAAAACAAAATTCGGAAATAGTAGCTCAGAGAATTTGATGATGGATAATGCTCTCTCTCTCTATCATACATAGAAGGAGTGGCATACATTTATGTTTATAAGGTGTCTTGCTGTTCTATTGCTGTGAAGAGACATCATGACCACGGCAGCTCTTATAACAGAAAGCATTTGATTGGGACTGGCTTACAGTTTCAGAAGTTTAGTTCACTGTCTTCATGGTGGGAAGCATGGCATCACTCAGACAGACCTGGTGCTGGGGAAATAACTCTGAGTTCTATATCAGGAAATTCGGGCAGCAGGAAGAAAGAGTCACTGGGCCTATCTAGGGCTTCTGAACCCTCAAAGCCCACCTCCAGGGATACACCTTCTCCAAACATGGCCACATTTCCTAATCCTTTCAAATAGTATCACTCCCTGGTGACCAAGCATTGAAATATATGGGTCTATCTATGGGGCCATTCTTATTTAAACCACCTCAGATGGGTAAAATATATTTAGAAATCCCGAGAAAGGATTCACTGCAGGTGTTACTTCTAAGTTGCTTAAATGTATCATTTTGCTTATTTTCCCAAGTTACTCCAACTCTATAGCTAGAAAGGAAAATTGGAAATAACTTCATTTGGATTTATGGATTTATGCCTTCAGGAGAAAATAATTAAAAATAGATTTAAAGATTCATTCTCTAAGAAGAAGTGCAGATGTATTTCCTGGACAAGGTGAAAAGATCTGTATGGGCTTAGTAGGAAGTTTATTGTATCTTTGGACAACAGTGAACATTGATCAGAGCTTTGATTCTGTGGCTGGGTAGCAAGAAGGAAGCATAAATGTGCCCTGGGTAAGTATCAAGTCTGATAGAAATGAGCACTTTCATCTTCATGATCAACGTTTAAAGACAGAAAATGCTAGTCTCACTAAAATGTAAGGAAACGAAGGCACAGAAAAGTGAGTCACTGTGGGTGGCCAGAACTAGGTTTCAAATTATGTTTGCTTTGAGTTTTCCCCTCTGTTTTGTTATTGGAACTTCACGTTAATAGTAGCAATAGTAATACTGCCTCTTTCAGAGAACATTTTTATTAAATTCCAGGCATTGTGCTGAGAGCTATAAATGCACGGTTCCATTTCATTATCACAACAGATCTGTGAGGCAGAGATTTTTTCCAGGATTGAGATGAAGAACTCGAGACTGGGAGACCCTATGGGATTCCCCCTCAACCCCATCCCCAGGCATAGAAATAGTGAGTGGAACCAGGGCTTCCCTGTGTTTCTAGTGTGGGCTAGAACAACCTGTGCTTGGACTTGCAGGGCCACAGGGTGCCCCTCCTCTGGCGATCATCAGCATGACCTTGCTTAGCCTATACACAGATCCAGTCACTTTGGGTGGGTGACACATATTTCCCACAGTGCTTGGTTCAGAAATCACTAAGATCCTTAGTATGTTTTTTCCCCCCACAGGTTCTTGCTGGATCACAGTTGAGCAATAATACCCAAGAGACTAATAGTGTCTGTAAGGGGTTGAAGTTGAGGAGGAATGTTCGTGAAATTGAGACTAACTGCTCAAAAGGATTATATCGTGGGGACCAATTTTGCTGTCAACCATGCCAGCCTGGTAGGTCACATGAAGCATCCAGAGATGAGTGGGAGAATCAGGGTGAGGGACTGAGAAGTGCTATAAGTAAGAATGTGTTGGACAGTTAGTGATATAGCTATTGGCTGTCCTACAGTGTACACAGCATTAGAAGAAGTGGAGGGAGGGGAATCCTATAAAGTTATCCTCCAAACACAAATTGGTTTGTTTTTTTCTTTTATCTTTATGTCGCTTGTCTGGGGTGCTTATGAAGAAACATAATTTACAAATGGCATATATGTCTAAAATGAGAAGATTCATCTATTTAGCTGTTTCTCATAAGCTAAGGAAAACTTATTTGGGAGGGTTAAAAGCCTGTCATCTCAAAGCTGACCAGAGTGTATCTGACTAATTCTGGGGCTCCCTCAGCAAGGAACTTCCACCCTCAGTGCTATTTCTCAGCCCCTCTCTTCGGTCTATCGCTAAGGCTCTCTCTGTCCCAGCACTGAAGCCTGCAAAATACATTTGCATTTTGCAGCTGAATAACAAGATGAGCTAGAAAAGCAATGAACAGCCACCAGCAGTTTTTCAAAAATCAGTATTTTGAAATGCAAATCCCTTTCAGACTGGAACTCCTTCAAGCACCAGCAAATGAGAGGCTGAGGAAAACGTAATTCTGTAAACATCGTTTCTACTTTGGGGTTGACCACAGTTACTTATAAATGCAGATCTGTCTCAGGTGCATTGAGAAGATAAGAAGGTGACCCAAGCCGGGCGGTGGTGGCACACACCTTTAAACCCAGCATTCGGGAGGCAGAGCCAGGCGGATCTCTGTAAATTAGAGGCCAGCCTGGGCTACAGAGCAAAATCTAGGACAAGCACCAAAACTACACAGAGAAACCTTGTCTCAAAAAAAAAAAAAAAAAAAAAGAAAGAAAGAAAGAAAAAAAGAAGGTGACTCGATGGCATTTAGGTTTGTTTGACAGTGTCAGGCTATAGTCATAGACCTCCAAAAGGCTTCTGTAGATTCCATCATAGGCTTCTCAGGCTTGCAGTACTAAAAGCACAAAGCAGGCCCAGGTCATGCACATGCAAAGACTCCTCCAACAGTGTCCATGGGACACTCTCCTGTCCAGATTTTACTAAGCCTAGCAAGAAAGTTTTCTCTATAATATACACTTTATACCTACCTAAATTCCTATACAGTTACTGTTTTCCAAACAGGAAGTGGAAATCCTCTATTGCTTTTTCTTTAAGTTGCTAATGACAATCAGTTTAGTCTATGAATTGAAATCTGTATTCATAGTTGAAATTTTGCATTTATATGTTTAAGATTTAAAGTGCAAGCTAAAACAAAGATGGTGTGTTTTGTATGTTAAGCGGTCAAAGATTTCTGCTGTGTGCTTTTACTGTACTTTTGTTTTGTTTGTATTTTAAAAGGGAATCTCAGCCTGCTGCAAACTTTTAAGAAAGACAATGGGACATATGTCGAGAACCCGACAATGTTTTTACTCAGTGACACAGCAATGAGTTATTTATAGGAAAATGCATTAAACATGGAAAGTTTTGTGTGTATGGCATTTCATTTTGATACCCAACAATGAAGGATTGTGCTTGTAAATTCTGGAATAATCCAAGGCTGGAATAGTTTGTGTCAATCAGAGCCTAAGTGCATCAACATTTCTGATGTATTTCTAGTCTAGTCCTCAGTTGTACAGCTTTCTTTCAGCAGTTGCTAACTGGCATTCTGGCTGTGTCAAAGGTCTTTCTCTCCCCTTCACTAGTCTATCCCACATGGCATTCAACACCCACCGAACACTCTCACCACCATCAGTCTCTCTGGTTGAATTTTAGACTTAGCAACATTCAAGTTAGTTTCAAGTCTGCTTATAGTGTTGATGATCGGCTAGTAATAGGCAATATTAATGATGCGATACATCAGTGAACATCAAATATTGGGAAATGATAAATTTTGCTTTTAAGAAAACTGTATTTTGGATACTTTCATGAATTCATACAGACTTTTGGTGTGATAAAACTTTCTTTTTCATCAAAATGAAGGGAAGTAGGAGAAGGGGATGGAGGGAAGCCAAACAGAAACCAAGGCGATGCACTGTGGATATGACTTAAGTGAAAAGAGTCTTATCTCCATGTCAAATGATTGGCATACCTATATAGAGACTCTTTAAAATGAAAATAAGCCGGGCGGTGGTGGCGCACGCCTTTAATCTCAGCACTCGGGAGGCAGAGGCAGGCGGATCTCTGTGAGTTCGAGGCCAGCCTGGTCTCCAAAGCGAGTTTCAGGAAAGGCACAAAGCTACACAGAGAAACCCTGTCTCGAAAAACCAAAAAAAAAAAAAAAAAAAAAAAATGAAAATAAAATATGTTTTTCAGTGATCTCACCTGTGAACTGATACTTTTTATTATAATACACTGTGCACATTTACAGAAATATAAAAAATAAACAAAAATCAAATACTTGAAAAGTCCTCACCACATCTTAATATCCAATAGGATAAATCCAGTAGTTTCTTATTTATTATATTTTCATATACACATTTATATACACTGTTGCCTCTATACTACTATATATACATACTTATGTGTGTGTATATATGTAGTGTATTTGTATGCATACAACAAAGTAAAAGAATAAATATCTCAAGGTAGTTGGTACGTAGGTCCTTTTAATAATTTCCCATCTCTACCAAATTTTCTGTGATAAGCAAGTATGTGGCTATCAGAAAATGATGCATTTTGAAATCTTATTTTTTTTAGTAACTTTTTTTTTGTATTTTAGGTAATTTAGATTGTGTAGTTTGGGGAAAGAATCTTCATTGTATCCATATAAAGCTAGGCATAATCTCTAAGCTAGCGCATTAGATGTTTCAGCTCACTTAAACAGCAGTGTCATACTGCCTGCAGGCAATGCAATGCTCTTCTGCTCTGTTCCCAGTAGAACTCTGCTGAAAGGTTGTGTAGTGCTGATGTGCCCTTTGAATTTTGCTCTAGATTTCCATGGTTTCCTATTTAAAATAGACTTGTTTTTGTTTACTAAAACATCACAAAATGTCATCTATATTTTAGTTTAATAACTGACTGTACATAGTAAATATTGTGTTTGGACAACAAGAATTCTATGAGGAAACTCACCAAGTCATGTAATAGGAAACACAGAATAGATTGTATTTGCTGTTTTGTGCATGGTGAGCAGATTTGACTACGTTTGGCCTTTATAATCATTTACACCATTGGTGACTAGAGTTGCTGGTGCTGCATCTCTGCCACACTTCCCTGCATATTCTGCAGTACCTGCCTCTCTATTCACTGCCCACTGCTACATGCTGCCACGTAGCTTCTCTGCCTGAGAAGGGGAAGACCGCAGAAGCTAATGCTTTGTCTTACTTTCTGCAGGACTTCCTTCTGCTCCTAGAGATCCATTAGCAAACAATGGACATTTAATAAACACTTGTTCAATATGTGACCATATTTCCCGAAGGCATTGTTCTATAATTCTTAGTCACAGAAATAGAATGACTTACTTTAAATAAATCAAAACAAAGATGAATATTATTTCAGATTGGTTGCAATAATAACAACCCCCATGATATTTTATTAAAAATGCATGTGCTTGTCTACAAAATGTGCTGTGTTCCTGAGCAGAAAATAAACAGAAAGGGGAGAGAAGAAGGAACTGTGACTATTTATTTGGTGGCATGTGCACAGTTTTGATAGTAATGACAGAGAAGTCTTCATCATTTGCATGACAAAAACTTAGGCTCACAGACACTAAGTGCTGTTGCTGGAGAGCTTCTCTCCAGGTTCCACCAAGCCCCGCAGTCCCACAATCCACTTAAAATAATCACTCAGACACTTATATCACTTACAAACTGTATGACCGTGGCAGGCTTCTTGCTAACTGTTCTTTTATCTTAAATTAACCCATTTTTATAAATCTATACCTTGTCACGTGGCTGGTGGCTTACCAGAGTCTTTACATGCTGCTTGTCCTGGTGGTAGCTGCAGTGTCTCCCCCCCTCAGCCTTCCGCTTCCCAGAATTCTCCTCTCTCCTTGTCCCACCTACTTCCTGCCTGGCAACCTACTTCCTGCCTGGTCACTGGCCATCAGTGTTTTATTTATATAGAGCAATATCCACAGCAAAGTGCTCTGTCAAAGATTTGATGGAGATTGATAGAAACTTCTAAAGTTCTTTTGCTTAAACTGTATTGTCTATGACCAGGATTTGTGGATTTGGGAAAACAAAATGAGAATCAGAACAAAGTGAGTTTGTTCTGTAATCTCAGCGCCTAGGACAGCCACCCCCACCATCTATCTAGTTTCTTCTCTTCAGAGAAGTGCATTTCGTCACTCCGATTGACTCTTTCTCTGTGTTTCTATTGCTAACTATCCTACTTTTTATGGGAATATATTTTTGCCTTCTGTTTTTGGAAGACTCTTAATGTGATTTTTCCCCCCAAAAGCTATTTGTCTTTCCCATTGCATTTGCATCTTCACATACTTCCATGGTGACTACCAGGCTCCAAAAATGTAATATATTTTTTCCCATGACAGGTGAATACAAACATTCGGATTGTACAACCGATGGTGGCAAACCAATATGCTGTCCCTGCACAGAAGGGAAGGAATACATGGACAAGGAACATTATTCTGACAAATGCAGAAGATGTGCACTCTGTGATGAAGGGCATGGTATGTATCTAAGAAAGCAATTGAAAGAACCCGATCCCCGTACTTCATGTGGAACCATACATGGCACAGTTTGAGATTGGGATCTACTCTGGTAATATGCCAACACATAGGAAAGAGCAGAATGAGGCTAGCTAGGTAATGTGGAGCCAGGTCCTTAGGTAGTAATCACATTTAAGGGTCTTCTCAGCAATTCTCCCAAATGGAGGCAAAGGACTAATCACCCTGAGTGGAGATGCACCAGCTGCCATCAAAGCCACCCATAGATCCAGACATATCTCTGCCTCCTGAGTGCTAGAATTAAAGGTATGTGCCACTACTGCCTGCTTTTATGTTTAATCTAGTGCCTTGTTCTGTTCTTTGATCTTCAGGCAAATTTATTAGGGTACACAATATATCACCACATTTCTCCTTTTATTATTTTTTGTCTAAAATAATAAAAGCTTATAACTAATATAAGAAAACATATGTACGTTTTAAGTACAATAAGTAATACAGTATATACAATCAAGAATTACATTAACAATGTCCAGTCCATTAACATTTGATGGATTTAGAGAAAATATTCCATTATTTATCCTATTTTGATGAGTCCAAAATATTGCACCTAATTCACTTTCTATCCTAACTTATATTATCAACCGAATACTGTTTTGTGATGTCTTTCAAACTTACACACTTTACACCTCTTTAGTGAGTTTTTTTTTTCTGAATTTGTTAACAAAGAAGACTATAACTATGTAGTCTTCAACTCCCTCAGAGACCCAAGAAGGAAATAATATTACCTAAGTAAGCAGGAAGTGCAAGTAAGCAACTTCCAAAAAATGTGAGAAATGACAGAAACAGCTGTGGGGTCCCATCATCTTTTTGGAGACTTCAAAATTGCTGTTAGGCATGGTCATGGTTCACTGAAGAAAATCTTTTTTGTGGGATATTTTTTTTTCTGGATGATTTGTCGTTTTTTTCTTCAGCTTTCTCATTTGTCCATTGTTCTTCAGATTTTTTAACTGGATGCCTTTATTCTCCTGGAAGATAAAAACAAAACCCTTCCCCTACCCTAACTTTGGGGAGTTTCCAAATCTAATCTCTATCAATTTTGATTTATGGTTTTTCCTTAACTTTTTTTGCTTTATGTTCTAAAGGTGTTCTATCATACAGAGAAGTATGATTTTTTTTTTTTTTAACAAAAAGCACTAGGTTCTTTAATTACTCTGGGAAGAGGTTTCTTTCATGATGACAGGAAAGGACTGAACCGAATTTTTCCGGGGGGCCTGTGAGAGGCCCCTCAGGGCATTTTCCAATGGCAAAGGCAAAGGATTACCTTGTCTGTCCCTTGTTGACCTATATTCATTAGTCCAGTGTTTGCCTTTGCCACACCTTCTGCATAATCCAGAAGGGAGGGGCATTCTGTTGGGATTATTCCTTGAAAAAACATTGTTTCTAGGAATGCCCTGTTTACAGTCCTCTTTTAGGTGACCTTGTTTACCACATTTGAAACGTCTGACATTACTATTTTTCTTCAAACCTCTGTAAATCATTTCTCCTATCCAAGTATCATCATGGTCATGAGATTCAATATTAATTGTATCTCATATCCATTCCTCCAAGGGTTCTGATCTAGCCTTTAATGGCCTAATTACCCTTTTGCATTGTACATTAGCATTTTCAAAAGCTAGAGATTCAATTATTATCTGTCTAGCTTCTGAATTTGGTATCATTCTATTTACTGCTGAAGACAGCCTCTGTAAGAAATCCATGAAGGTTTCTTTTGGGCCCTGTATAACTTTTGTAAATGACTCAATTTTCTTTCCTACTTCTTCAGTTCTGTCCCAAGCATTCAAGGCTACCATTCAGCATAAGTCAGGGTTTGGTCATCATACAAAGATTGCCTTTTTACATTAGCATAATCTCTCTCTCTAAGAAGTTGATCTTGGGAGATTTCCATACCTCTAGCCCTACATTGTTGTTCAATGGTCTTATCCTCATCCTTCCACCAGGTCCTCTGTTGTAATTGTGGATCAGCCTCTAAGACGGCTGTAACCAAATATCTCTAGTCTTGAGAGATAATTATATTACAAGTTGACCAGAAGTTTAACATCTGCTTCACAAACAGGGAATGCATACCATATGACACTATAGCTTCTTTGAATCTCCTAAAATCTAACATTTTCCATAGAAGTCCAGTTAGCTTGTACATAGCCTTGAGCATTGGCAGTTCCTGTAAGGTTACTGGATAGATTAAGGTTGGCTATTTGAAAGCCTTAGGCTGTTTCTCTGAAACCTTATAATGCAATGCTGAGATTGGTTCACCTTTAAATTCTTCTGTCTGGGTCTGAATTTCTCTATGATCTGTTTTAACAAGTTTTTCTAAAACTTTTATCTTGGCAATCATATTAACCAACTTTTTAAATGATAAAATAAAAATGATAAAACAAATAATATTTATAATTGACATTACATAAATCCCATCTACATTAATTATTCTCTTTTTTAATTGTTCCATTTTCAGACTGTCAATTGTATTATCAAACAGGGATCAAATTCCTTCCTTTGTAAAAATATTTCCCATTTTTTAATGTGGGAAAAAAATCTTTTTTAACTAATTTCTCCCTTTAAGAAATCTCAATTGTCTCTCCTAATTCTGCTGACAATGATGATTCAGATGTGAGGCTGAGGGCTTCTGTGTAGAACAGTAGAAGCCTGAGTGGGTTTCAAAGCAGCTACCTCTACAAAATCCTCAGCCTAAACAGAGTGAGTTCCTGTTTCCTCCCACCTTTTATACCTTTCTCTGCCCTGCTGTATTACTTCTTGGGATGAAAGGCATGTGTACTTCCTAATCAAAGGTATGAGATCTCAATTACTGTGATCAAAGGTGTGTGCCAACACTGCCTGACCTCTATGTCTAATCTAGTGGCTGGATCCTCAGGCTAGTATATTGGGGCACCCAATATATCAGCACAAAACATTGTTATTAAAGATGTGATAGTGTAACAGTTGATAATAAGCAATAGGTCTAAAAAAATCTATGCAGAATTCAGTCATTATTTTCAGTGCTTATTTTTAACTAGCTGCTATAATTAATGCTTTATAAACTGGATTTCTAGGTTTAGAAGTGGAAACACACTGCACCCAGACCCAAAATACCAAGTGCAAGTGCAAACAGGACTTCTATTGTAATGCTTCTGTCTGTGAACACTGTGATCGCTGCATCACGTAAGTTTTAGTATTCAGTGCCTAAAAGACTAGCTATAACTTGGGACATCCTACCTTCTTAGAGAAGAGCCACACTGAATGGGGAGTTAGGAACTGAGTTCTCTTCTTGTCTTTTCCATTTGCTCAGTTACCACCAATCAACACCAGACATCACTGAGCAGTCTCCAGTTTCTGAACATTACCAAAACCATTCTGTTCAAGTTACAGTGCTGGCTGCTTAGGTTGGTGATGGTTATAGGAGATGTGACTGTCATCAAGGTTTTGACTCTAGGGGCAAAGAAAGCTAAAAAAGTATTGCATGTCAGTACTTTATGGTGTATGGCAAGCACAAAACTTTTGTGCTAAAAGTGGTGCAAGTTATGCAAGAAGACCTTTTGACTCTGTATGGAAGATGAGAGTCTTGAGGAGGCAAGAGACAGCATTACATGTGGGTGGGAAGTGTGTTCAGGCAGGGAACAACAGCTCTAAAGAGGCATAAGATGCTCCCATATCTGCTGGAGGGTAGAAAAGCCTGGAAATGAATCGGATCATGAGGACTTTGCCTTGATGCTAAAGGGCTTGCTTTTGACTCAAATCTAGAAAACCTGCTTGTACTGCTCACCTATCTGCTGATTAATTGGACTAGTTTGAGCAGATCACTTAACCCATTTGAACTTCAGTTTTCTCACTCGTGGAATGTAAAGAATATTTAATTAGCACCACCCTTCTGCCACATTTCTCTGGAGATCACATTAGGTCGTACGTGTTGCAAAGACAGATTTTGCATTTCAGGGTAAATCTTAGTGGTAGAGCACTTGCCCAGCAAGTGCAAGGTCTTGGGTTCAATGCCCAGCACTGAAAGAAAAGCAGCTTTTGGTTTGTCAGATGCTGGTTTTCTGGAGAATGCTTAGGACTGCTATTCCCTTGCCATTCTGTAAAACTGCAACTCACCTTTGGATCCTATGGGCATTCATCTAATAGGCTGGTTGAAAAGCAGAGACATGCTGCTTCCTATCATTTATTAGGAAAAACATTGTGTTCTTACCTTTGCTCTCTTCTCTAGCTCCACGTGTCTGAGAGTGATGAGTGGCAAGGTGGGGGTTGCAGGGAAGTGGTTAACTTGGTAAAGGAATAGCACAGTAATAGCCCTGTACACTTTATAATCACGATTCAGTTTTCTCCTCACTGGTACTCGTTGAGGTACAGTGTAATTATCTCCAGGCTGTCAGTGAGATTACAGGCTCCGGTAGATTACCTGATCTCTCAGCATCCCTGCTTAGGCTTCGAGGAATAGGTGGGCCGTGAACTTGGACTGTCAGAGTTTATGTATCTGAAGAAAATCCCACAAGTGCCTCTTGACCGTCCTGATCACTCCTAGCTGGGGCCCTGGGCAATATCCCAGGCAGTGGTTCCCTTCAGGCCATTTTAATGATTTATAAGATTTTCTTTTTAAAATTGCCCTTGATAAGTCATTTTTAAAACAGCTTATTTTAAGCTCTTGTATCAATTTAATTGTATTGAATTTAAGAATTCAATTTATTACCAATTTTAAGTGTATTTTTGTCTATCCCTTTCTTTTGTATATTAGTATTTTATTATCTTTTAAAACTCTTGATAGCATTAGGATTTTTATTTTTAAACATGTGACACAGGGATGTGCATGTGACTGCAAGGCTGGGGAGGCCAGAAGATGCTGTCAGACACCCTGGAGCTGCAGTTAGCAGTGGCTGTGAGCTGCTTAGTGTGGGCTCTGGGAACTGAACTCTGATCCCCTCTACAGGCAGCAGGCACTCTGAACCACTGAGCCATCTCTCTAGCCCTTATATCTTAAGGCAGACTTAACATTGCTCAATCAAACGCCCAATCACAGTTCTTAGCTGGTACCAGCTTTTGATGGTGATCTGGAAATGTCTGAGAGGAAACAAGTGCTGGGCATAAAAGGGCAAATGAAATGAATACTGATGTGTCATGGACATGGAAAGACAGGGAAGGGTTCTACACAGGCCTTCTAAGTTTCTTCTGCCTTTCCCCCCCAGGTGTGAACATGGAATCCTTGAGCCCTGCACACCAACCAGCAATACCAAATGCAAAAGAGAAAGTAATCATTTGTTTTTATGACTACATTCCTTTCCCATCCCCATCATCATGTCAGAGTAAATGCTTATTGGTTTATTATTGATTGAGTGAACAGAGCTTCGTTTTATCTTAAAAGCTGCTTAATTTCATATGAAATGTCCAATATTTCCAGCCACAGGTTCCAGATACCATTTCCTATGGTTGTTCGTCATCCTCCCTTTGGTAGTATTGCTGGTTGGTAAGTCTTCTCTTTGCTTAAACTTTAGATTAAAATGACATGAGAATAATATAAAATAATTATAGCCACTGTGCCCATAGAGAACCACCAAAAGCCAGGGAGAGTGTGACAATGATACCTGGTAAACCTGACCTTCTCTGGGCCTGACCTCCCTCAATAAACAATTTATTTTAATTTTTAATTTTTATGTTTATTTACTTTTTGATCACTCTCTCTTATTTTGTGTCTTTAACTTAAAAATCTATGACAACATGTTTTATCCAAAAATTACTTCATAATGACAGTAGTTAAGGGAAAGCTGGGTATCATCATAGTTGTTCTAGAAAATCCCCTTGAAGCCTAGGGGTGACAAGATACACCAACTTTCAGTGACTGAGGATCTTGTAATTTTTCCTTCTTTGTCGGAACAAGTAACTGTCTCTTCAATTCACTTCACTTAGTGTGAGGATTTCCTATCAGAATGGCATGTGAGTCTGACAGCAATCTCTTTGATTTTTCAGGGGTTTTATATAAAAAGTATTGGAGAAGAGGTCATGAGGACCCTGAGTCTGGGATCTCAAAGCCTGTGAGTATGCAAAGTCGCATTGGCTTTCTTGGAAAAACAAAAGAAATAAAGGAACAAACAAACAAAAAATAGTACTTTCTTTAAAACAAGTATGTGTTTGTCCATTGTCCACAGGTCAGAGCAACATTAATAATGAATTAACACAGAAGCAGCTAATTTATTAGTAAGTTTTTGTGGGGTGCTATATAAAAGCATCATCTACCTCTATAGTCATTTGAGTCAAGTGGAGCCCATGCTGACCTGTCCATGTCTTTCTCAAAGAGAAGACCATGTGCACTATCTATTGAGCAGTACAATAAAGCACGGTACTGGAAATACTCTTTTACCAGAGTTTTTCAAGGGAAGAAGTTGGTTTTGGACCCCACTGACCCAAAAGAGCACTCAAAACTACAAGCAGACTTTTTTCAACCTGTATTTACATGTCGCCTTCAGCATTTAGAGTGGATAGTTGTCAAGGTTGCTGTCAGTCTACTGGCTGCTGCCAGGGAATGAATGATGTTAGACTGAATTGTCATAGTGCTCACGCACACCATGCATTATCTGGGTGAGGGACATGATTAAGGAGCACAGTTTGAGATTAAAGTCATGCATTAAAGTTATCTTGTAAAAAAACTAATTACATGGAGAGTCCAAGGCATAGTTGGATTGGTTGGATTGTCTTCTCAAAGGTAGGTTAAATGTCAACAGAAAGGAAACAGACTGAATAGTTTAAATAGTCTCAAAGCATATTCCTAACTTGGTTCAAAAAAGCTGGATTTCTGAAGGCAAGCTTAGAAGCGGCATTTCCAGAATAAAATAAATACTTACAAGGCTTTACATAAATACTATAAGGAACAATAAAGGAGCTTGGAAGCCTACCAGTGTGAGCTGGAAAAGGGATGTGCTGTGTGAAGCGCCATATTTCACCTTGCTATTTTCCTGGCAGAAAATAGCCGGGAAGGTCCAAAGGTCAGGACTCAGATTCCAAACCCCAGCCAAGACTTTGCTTTTAAAATCCACTTAATACGCATAGTATGGCTCTCTCTAGCCCTGGAGCAAATGGTAGATAGTATCTAACACAGGCAGATGGAACTTTTCAGTATCTAAACTGAATGATTGAAAGAACTCATCTTAACCACAAAGTCTAATTTCCTAATTGTGTGTGTGTGTGTGTGTGTTTGTGTGTGTGTGTGTGTGTGTGTGGAGGAGGAGAAGGAAGAGTAGTAGTAGGCAATTGTAAAATATTTCCTTCTGAATTTAGAAAGAATTAAATGACATTTAAGTATGTATTTGACTCTCTGCCTCTGTTTTATTCTTCCCAGGAAAACATGCCAATTAATTTCTCAGGTAAGTTCTTCTATTATTTTATTTCATAAAAGTGGCTTTCTTTGTCAGAATAAGCCTAAATTAGAACAAACACTAGGATTTTAGAGTGAATAATGTTTGAATTTCAGTGACACTTTAGGCTTTCCTGTTATTTAAACTGCCAGTTCTATCAAGAGTTTAGATCTGTAACAGTCTTAATTAAAAATAAACCAGGTAGTGATAAGACAGTACATCATTAGAGGTTTAAGAAAAATTTCATTCATAATCAGCTGTATCACAAAACTCCTTGTAAACTGATGTCCAAGTCAAATGGAACCATAGCCTCAGTTAGCATGTTCCCACCTCTGCAACAACTTGTCCAATTCTATTTGCTCCTGTCTTTTGACCTGTGACTCAGAGACAGGAAGAACTGTCCTTTTAGGTTTGTGGGTCTGGTCATCAGGTCTCTAGGGGGTACTAGATTGGATCTTTTTTTAATCTTCTGATTTCATGAATAAGGTAAGAAGACATAAAGATGTCACGTATCACGCCCAAAGAGTAAAAGTGTAAGAGCCACAGCAAGCTTGGGAGTACAACTCAAGCTTATCCTGTTTGGATCAATAGGACTCACCTGCACTCCAAATTTTAAGGGAAGAAGTGCACATGGCTTCAGTAATGGAAATCCCTCTTAGAAAGACATTTTCGGAGACTGTTTTCTGTTTTTCAGACGTTGACCTGAGTAAACACATCTCGAATATTGCGGAACAAATGTCATTATGTGATGTTAAAAAATTTGTTCGGAAGAATGGGATCTCTGAAACGACGATAGATGAGATCAAGAATGACAATATCCAAAACACAGCCGAGCAGAAAATACAGCTGCTTCAGCACTGGTATCAGTCTCATGGGAAGAAGGATGCATATCACACTTTAATAAAAGGCCTCAAAAGAATCAACTGTTGTCGTCTTGTAGAGAAAATTCAGGCCATGGTCCAGGAGGAGATTGAAAATTCAACTTTCAGAAATGAAAATGAAAGACAAGACTCAAGTGAAAACTTCCTCAGTTCTAGCTATTGAGAGAGGGAGAGAGAGAGAGAGAGAGAGAGAGAGAGAGAGAGAGAGAGAGAGAGAGAGAGAGAATCTTCTAAACCAGCATTGTGGCTGGTGTCTGAGTCAGGAGCATTGCCATAAGTTCAAGGTCAGACCATGCAACGTAGTGAGGTCTGGACTAGCCTGGATCACAAAGTAAAACCTTGTCTCAAATATAACAAAAGAAAAATTACAAAGCAAAGAAGAACATTTTTAATAATGGAAATCTATAAATGGTGTTTGACTTTTTATTGAGTATATTTTCTACTTCCTTAGATTTCTAAAGACGATATATTTACAACATTGGAAGATTTCATGATTCTGTTTTGAGTAATGTTGATATGTATGTGGAGGATGGACAGGTGCTAGAGTAACTGCAGTAGTGATTTATGTACCCAGACAGAAGTCTACACAAAAGCACATAAACTTAATAGCATCCTCTAGGCATGAGTGTAGTTACTGTATGCTGGCCTGTGACAGTCCACCCTGTTCCATGGTCACAGAAGGCATGACTTTGGCTATTAAGTCACACACACTCTAAGGGTACTTTGTCCCAACCCCAACTCCAAGATAATCCTAGAGATTTTACCATATAGAGAGACTTGGTTAGCCATCTTCAGAACATACCCATGGCAAAGCTTGCACATGTATTTAAATGTGGAATTAAATAAGGTCTGTCTCAAAGATTTGTGTGTGTGTGTGTGTGTGTGTGTGCAGACCACTGGTGTTTTGTGATGTAATATTTCTAATTTAAATTTGTGTGGAAAATGTAGAATAAATCCAAACGCTTGAATATATTCTATTTATATACCATTTTATTCTTCCAAAATAATTTGCATGTGTCTCAGGTGTCAAAGTGTTTTTGAGTAGGAGTGTATTACTCCAGCCACACTACCTCTCTGCTTTCTCTTTGTTATTCAATCTGATACAGCTTTATGCACTCCTAAACCTGGAAACTTTTCTAAAGAAATAATGGTCCCTGCCCCCACATCCCCAAAAACCCAGAACTGCCTTGGAAATTCTGACCTGTTTTGGAAGGAGGAGTGCATTGCTTTTCTGGGGGGTAGCTTTAGGGCATGCTATGGACTTGTGCCTTCCACCAAAAGTGGGGACAATATGAAAGGCCACTTCATTGCCATGTGTCAACTTCTGGTGTGTTCTCTTCACCTATAAATGCCAGCTGATGTCCAGCAAAGATAAAATAGGCAGAAGGTTCTAGTAATTGCTTCTGATATTCTCTTCAGGTTCTGAGACAAACCATTTCCTCCATCTACTGCGATGCTGTTATTTTCACACTTAAACCTGTATGAAAGTTGTGTTAAATGTGAGTTGGAATCTGCAGTGCTTCTGTTTATATTCATGTGTTGTGAACTGAGGAGAGTTATAAATGGAAACAAATACTTGCAGTTACCTAAAGACCTTCCACTGTTGGATGATTCTTTCCCTCTATGTATGGAAATGTTAACAGAGGAATTTTTTTTTAATTAAAGTACTATTTTGGCATTTTTGGTTCTCTGTTGTCTTGCCCATTGTTTTATTTTCCTTCACTCCACCGACCACTTAAATGTTACCTGTTCGATGAATCGTTAAAGCTTGCTTTGACATCTGAGGAGGAATGTTTTGTTTTGCTCTTTGGGGGTAAGTGAGCTGAAAGGAAATTCAAACACCATACTCTAGATACTTGGTGACTAGTAGGTTCTCTCTCTCTCTCTCTCTCTCTAATAAGCCCTTAAAACGTATTTATCCCTTATTTTTTTCTCTTTTTGATAATATCATCTCAACACAGACATTCATAAAACAACCGCTTTCATGTTAAAATCAAACTTAGCTGAAGCTATTTAACAGTCACAGAGAGGAAGCACACTAGTATTTATGGGAAGTGTGACTATGGCTCCTACGTCACCATAGCAAACAACCAAAGGAGGCTTTTGAGGATCTGCTGTATGTGGGAGGTGCCCCTTTCTCCCCATTTTAAGTCAATATTTGAAAAAGCAACCCGCTTTTCCTATCATTGACTATTTTTCATGTCTTTAAAATTTTTAATTATAGTAGTAGGCTTATTTAACCCAAATATTTCCAAGAATTGACATTTTAGCATGCAATCAGTATTAAAACTATTAATTAGAACTGGAAGAACAGCTTTGCACAGTAAGACCATGGATTCAGTCTCCAGCCATGCAATTAAGCAAGGCAACTCTCCCTTACAAAACATCCTAACAAAGTACTATTGATGGGACAGCTTACGTTCCCTCATAAAGTCTTAGAACTATAACTTGTGTTTTATTACACCTGTGAGCACATCTCATTTTTGTTTACCCACATTCCATAGATCCGGTAGCCACATGGGGACAGTGGCTATTGCAGAAGATAGTTTTCATCTTTGTTATAGAGCCCTAAAATAACTGTAACTCTATGGCCGGTCAGCTCTACTACCGGAAGTCTAGATTTTTCTGGATATGTCGTACTAGACAGCTTCCCTGTAGTGGTTTGGAAGTCCAGCATCTCATCCATGAGTCAGTTTTTGGGAAATGTTTTGCTTCCATCCATCAGTAATTGTTCTTTAACCTAAAATTGTTCTTCCCCTGGCTCTGGGAGCCTCACTGTTTCAGACCTGGAGGAACATCTGAGTAGATTATTACAACCTGTTCTTCTGTTCAGCCTTCTTTCCTCAGGACTCCATTCTCTCCATTCCAATGGGGACAGCCTCCTCAACTCCAATCTCCATTCTCTAGCCTGGCAAATGATTTCTTTTTTTTTTTTTTTTTTTTTTTTTTGAGGAATCTGACTACTGTGGTCTCAAAGTGCCTTCGGAAGAAAGATTAACTCATGTTGGGCTCTGCCTCCATTTCTCTCTGAGAGATGACAATCTGAGCTGTCCTGAATAACTTTCTAGTTGGAAACAGCGGAAGGGCAAGCCTAGTACAGTTGTTGCATCAGTAATGAAACTCCCACTCTTCAAGGTGAAATTAGTTGTGAGATCTTCCTGTGCCTACTTTGATGAGTTTGAACTTGAACCAAGAACTTTGTGTATTTGAGGATGTGACTCTTTCCCCTTTGGCTTCACCCAGAGGCTCCAGAAATGACTGCTCCCACATCAATAATCATGGCTGTGTTCTAGACTTCAAGTGGCTTCTTGGTCCAAAGTTACCATGTTTTAGTGATCCACATCTTGTTTGTGGTAGACATCCTGAGCAGGAATATCACCCAAATGTCCCTTATGGGCTTCAGTAAAAGGCTATTGACAAAAGGTCAGAGACCTCGTGGGTGTTGCAAACTTTGACATCCTTACTAAGTCCACAGAGTCTTCCGGTGTTTGGTTTGACCAGGCACCACACCATGTAGTACTGAATTGTCAGTTTCTGTACAGTGATGTAGATAAGGCATACAATGCAGCATTATTTACAATTGTTTTCCATGTGCTCCTCTGGATGTAAATGTATCTGGATCAGAATTTTAGGGGCTGGGATGTAGCTCAGTAGAAGACCACTTTCTGAGCATTCCTAAGGCCCTTGGATAAATCCCTACTTTCAAGATAAATATATAAATATGTAAAGAAAGACACACAGAGAGAGGGGAGGGAGGGAGGAGGAGGGAAGGAGAGAGAGAGAAAGAGAGAAAGAGAGAAAGAAAGAAAGAAAGAAAGAAAGAAAGAAAGAAAGAAAGAAAGAAAGGAAGGAAGGAAGGAAGGAAGGAAGGAAGGAAAGGAAAGGAAAGGGAAAGTCTACACAATGCAAGATACTTGCAGTCTCCTGGGAGTACTTTAAAACCTGTTCATGAACACTGTTTCATGTTTGTTGCTGATGGTGATGACATGGCCAATGCTAACCTAAATATGCCTTTCTAGCTAACCCCTTTCCCCCTCTGATAGATTTTGAAGCTTCGTCTGGTACATTTCCTTGGTGTTCTGCAATTTCACTTAAAAGAGTTTCCATGTGGACTTATTTATCTCCCCTTCCTCCTTTTTTTCCTCCTTCCCTCCTTCCTCCTCCTACACCTCCTCCATCCTTCTCTTCCTGCTTCTCCTTTCCCCACCCCTCATCCACCTTGGTTTTTTTTTTTTTTTTTTTTTTTTTTTTTTTTTTTTTTTTGAGGTCTTTCTCTGTAGTCTAGGTTGGCCTGGTATTTGTGGCAATCCTCCTGCCTCAGTCTTTTATTGTTGGGATTATGGGGGACTTACTTTTAACTCATTTCCTAAGTAGTACATCTTTTAAAAGATTATTTCTTTTATTTTTTGAGATTATAATATGATTAAATTATTTCTCTTACTTTTTTCTTTCCAAACCATCCAGTTTTCCCTCTCTTTCAAGCTCATGGCCTTTTTTCCATTAATTGCTGTTACATGGATATATGTAAATACATACACATTCCTATATACATAAACACACAGCTCAGTCTGTATAACATTACTTGTATGTATATTTCAATGACCAACCCGTATTGGATAATCAACTGTGTGTCTTCCCTGGGAAAGACTATTTGTCCCTCTCTCAGCATTCTGTATTGTCTGTAGTCCTTTGTGCAGAATTGAGGCTCATAAGCTTTCCTCTAACCACATCAGCATGTCTACTGACGTCATTCTTGTTCAGATCATCTTTAGGTAGTCCGGTTGGCGAGGTTTCATGGTGTAACTTCCGACGTTCATAGAAGACATCATCTCACAGCAAGCAAGCACTTTGATCCTCTTTTGTCTTTTATAAGAAAGACAGAAGTATCTTCTCCTTCTCTTTCTCCTTCTTCTTCCTCTTCCTCCTCCTTTCCCCTCCTCCTCCTTCCTTCTTTTTTCTTTTTTCTGTTCTGAAAACTCAACTGTTTTCTCTTTGACCATGCTGCTTGTGAAACACAGTACTACCTAATGAAGTTTCTTGGGCTCTTCTCTCTCAATTTTTTGAAAATATAGTTTTATATATATATTGCATTTAGGGAGATGTTTCCTTATTTTCCTAAAATAAACCATTTCTTTTACTGTTTTGTTTATCATTCTTAACATTTGTGGTTATTTTTAAATGCTCACCTGTACAATTTTGTTTCTGCTTGCTCTTCATGACAGGTTAACATGATGTGGGAGATTTTATCAGTTAGTTACTTCTTGTTGTAAACAAAAACCAGAGGGAGAAAGCTTGGCTTGTAGTTTGAGTGGACAGTCAATCATGGCAAGGTAGGTCATGGCTGAGGGACTGTGAGGTATCTGTCCCATTGTGGCTGCAGTCAGGAGGTAGAGACAGGAGTATTGCTGCTCTCTAGCCTGTTCTGTTTCCCTTTTATTGTCTCCAGGACCCTGGCTTATAGGATGAGGCCACCGACTTTCAGAGTGGGTCTTTCATCTTCAACTAAATCTATCATGAAAAACCTCACAGACCTATCCAGAGGTGTGTCTCATAAGTGACTTTAAATCCAGCCAAGGTTGCCATCAAGATTAATCATCACAATTTTATCCCACCATTGTTTCTTTAAAGATTCTGTAGTTCTCTGGAAGTCCTTTCCAAAAGTGTTTTTTTTAATTAAATGTTATTTGTTGTGACTTCATGCTGCCAGTCGTGAGTTCACTTTTCTCATGTGATCTCTGTATATGTGTGCATGTGCATGCTCATGTGCACTGTATACATGTTTGTGTGCAGACACACACATGCCTATGTGTAGGAAGAGGGAGGCCAGAGAAGAACAAGAGGTGCCCTGCTCTAGCACACTCTACCTTATTCTGTTGAGACGTGGACTTTCACTGAACCTGGACTTAGACTGAGGTTACAGAAACACATGTGCCACACCCGGTGGCTTTTTACGTGAGTTCTGGGGACTTGAACTAAAATGACCCATTGAGCCATCTCTCTAACCATTCTTGTGTGACATTCTTGATGTATTTTTGAACTTGGATTGCAAGTCTCTTGAATGACATCTTTTCTATTTATCGGTACTAACTTCATGTGTGGCAGTTTTATGGGATTGTTTGCCAACTCCTCCAGGGACTCCTGTTCTGAGCCAGGATCTCTTAGTATCTTGGGGCTTATCCCTTTCAATGATTGCAGGGTTATAATAGATTTATACTCTGAGCAAAGCTTGCTCACCTATTGGTCCCACTTCCTAATGCCATTGCAGTGTTTTGTAGGAGTTTGGTTTAAGCTGTCTTGGCATTAACTCTGATCCCTTGGTAACTAAGGAATCCCACTGAGGCTTTAACTCCTGAATACCTCTGGCTTGTCATCCTGTCTCTGGTGATCTGCCTGAGGACAGATCACAGAGACAGAAAGATGTAGGAGGCCATATGTTACATTTGTTAGTTTACGTTTTGGTTGGCACGGTTGTTCAGTTAAACCATGTGGCAGTTCAGTGCTTGGATGAATAACCTGCTCTTGGGCAGAAAGAAGACAATGAAGAAACTTTAAAGAGCAGTTTTGCTGCATTATATAAAGCACTTACCCTGTGTAGTGGTTTTGTGGGTGGTAAACCCCTTCCAGATACCCTCCAGTGGAAGACCCCAAAGATAGAAACACACCAAAGGAGGTGGTTCA